CCTTCTATCTGTTTGTATCTTTGTCCATTGTGGATGAAGTACGTGTTGGTTAGGCAGTGGTTGGTCAGGTCCAGGATGTATTCGGGGGGATTGTATTTGTTTTGAATGGCTGTCAAGGCTTCATTAATGGGCACTTGTGTGAAGAGAGATACAACATCGAAGCTCACAAGTAGGTCATCGGGATGTAGGTTTTGCTTCTTTATTGTTTCTATGAACTGGAAGGAGTTTGTAACGTGTGAAGAGATGGATTCTGCATAGGGCTGAAGTTGCTTAGCGAGAAATTTAGCGAGATTTTGTAGAGGTGAGCCTATGGAGCTGACTATTGGTCTGAGTGGTGTTCCTTCTTTGTGTATCTTGGGGAGGCCGTAGAGTTTGGGGCATCTGGATGATTTTTCTCTGGGGATGATTCTTAGCTGGATTTCTTCACTGATAGGAGAGGCTTTTATTTTGGATTTGGTGGTTTTTTCCAGATAGGTGGTGGGATCTGTTTTTATAGGTTGGTAGGTAGGGTCTTGGAGTAGATTTGATAGTTTTGCTTGGTAGTCCGATGTGTTCATCACAACAGTGGCATTACCTTTGTCTGCTGGGAGAATGATTATGTTGTTGTCTTTCCTCAGGTTGGTGAGTGCTTTCTGTTCTTCTTTGTGTAAATTGCTTCTGGGTGGTTTGCTGGAGCAGAGGATGTTGGTGACTTCAAGTCTGATTTTATTGGCTTCATCTGGGTTGATTTTGGTTAGGCTAGCTTCGACTCCGCATATGATGTTTTCCGTGGGGATGCGTCTCGGGGCGACTGCAAAGTTGAAACCTTTGGAGAGTACTTTGGAGAGTACTTTGGGTGTTTCTCTATCTCGATGGCTTCCATGATTATTCTCTTGTGGTGATGTTCCATGTTAAAGAGCAATTTGGAATCTGCAAAATTAATTTCGTGTCCTGTTTCTTTCATGTGTTGGAAAAGAGAGGAAGTTTTTTCTTCTTTTTTGACGGCATTCTGGCTTTAGACAAGTCAGAACACAAACCCAAACTTTGGCTCAGATATGTTGACGACACCTTCGTAATTTGGCCACACGGGAAGGAAAAACTAGATAGCTTCCTCACACATCTCAACAGCCTACACCCCAAAATACAATTCACTATGGAAATAGAAGCCAACAACCAACTTCCCTTCCTTGACGTCCTAATCTACAAAAAACCTGATGGCTCCCTAGGACACACACCAACCGCTACTTACATGCACAATCACACCACCACCCTGCACAAATAAACTCCGTAGCCAAGACTCTCATCTCCAGAACCAAACGCCTGGCTGACAAAGACCACTTGACAACTGAGTTACAGAATCTCTCAAATGTGTTAATCGCCAATGGATACCAGCAAAACAGGGTTACGAAGCTAATCCAAAAAGAAACACCCCCAAAAAACCAAGACACAGAAGAAAACAATGGCATGGCCCTCCTTCCTTATATCAAGGGCACTACAGATAAAATTAGCAAAATCCTCCATAAACACAATATCAAAACAGCCTTTTGCACCAACCAAAAAATAGCCAATATCCTCAGAAACCCCAAAGATAAAATCCAGTTGGAAAACCAAGGGGTCTATGAAATACCCTGCAAAGCCTGCCCAGCCACGTACATTGGACAAACAAACAGACGAATAAATGCACGTATCGCAGAACACAAGAATGCCGTCAAAAAAGAAGAAAAAACTTCCTCTCTTTTCCAACACATGAAAGAAACAGGACACGAAATTAATTTTGCAGATTCCAAATTGCTCTTTAACATGGAACATCACCACAAGAGAATAATCATGGAAGCCATCGAGTTGTCTAATTAATTAAGGAACAAAAGAAGAAAAGGCACACTAGCCTGGGAACTTCCTCTCTGCCCAGAACATTGGAGGCTATACACCACACCTCCTCAACAGTATTTATAGGAACTCAAACACTGAGATCCTGCTCTGTTCCAGTAACAAGAAGCCGAAAGCACCAGCCTGAAGATGACGAGTGAGACCTCGTCGAAACGTCGCCTAGACACCCCAACTTTTACACGGGAAGACACCCGAGGACACCAAAACCTGCATTCCTGTACCCGTGAAAATCTACGAAAGCATATATATATATATATATATATGGTACCCCTGCCCGTACGGGCCAGTCTTGTCAGACTCTAGGGTTGTGCGCCCATCTCACTCAAGAGGCCGGGGGCCAGCGCTGTCCGGAGACACTTCCGGGTCACGTGGCCAGCGTGACATCGCTGCTCTGGCGAGCCAGAGCCGCACACGGAAACGCCGTTTACCATCCCGTTTGTAAGCGGTCCCTATTTATCTACTTGCACCCGGGGGTGCTTTCGAACTGCTAGGTTGACAGGCGCTGGGACCGAACGACAGGAGCGGACCCCACCGCAGGGATTCGAACCACCGACCTTTCGATCGGCAAGCCCTAGGCGCTGAGGCTTTTACCCACAGCGCCACCTGCGTCCCCTATATATATATATATATATATATATGAATGAAAAACTTTTACATGTTCTGACAACCTATGCTTCTAGCTACTCTGCTCTCTGTGTGGTTCAGAAGCTTGTTCTACTTTTTCAAAACTACTCAAGCTGAAACTACTGTATTTTTCCGTGTATAAGACAAGGTCCCCCCCCCCAAAAAAAAACAATGTCAAAAATTAGGGGGCATCTTATACTCTGGGCCATCTCCCCCAATTTTCTTAAATCTGAGTCCCCCAAAATAGGAGGCGTCTTATACATGGGGGCATCTTATAGGCGGACAAATACGGTATATGTATTCTATGACACAGGGGTGTAGCATGGATAGGGTGAGGGGGGCTGTCGCCACAGGCACAGGGTTTTTTGAGGGTGCATTTTACTCCTCACGTTGCCCTTGCCAGCCCTGCACCGCTTTGCAAGTCTGACCCTCATCTCCGCCTCACAAAGCAGTGTGGGGCTGGCAGGGCGTCAGGAGGACACAACAGAATTATGCCCTTCCAATCAGCCCAATCAGACTGTTTTTAAGGTTGTATGCCTGCCCCGCTGCATCCTCCTCACATCACCCTCCATACCCCCTGATGTGCCCGCCTGCCCCAGGCACCTTGAAGACACACACTGCTGCTGCTATGACAACAAGATGAAACTAGTACTAAAAACCCATTGCTGAAGGCAAGCATAGAAACCTATGTATGAGTGGGTGTGTTTTTTAAAGCCTCCTTAATATAAAAATGCAAAGTTTATATTATAGAGATTCCAACACATCTGCCTATTGTTTCGTATTTGCTATATATTTTGGTGGCGGCTTCTGTTCTTCCCTCTATTGTATATATTCTATATACAAACATCTATCTGTGTTGTATATCTGCTACACAATGGTGTTTAGCGGCATGGAGTTGGCTTGGTTTCACTTCACTTTTATGTGTTCTCTCAAGCTATTCTGCTCAAGGCACTCCAGCTTATTGCATGTAACTCCACTGATGGCATTGTATAGCCATTATTATCGTTTCTGAACAGGTGGCAACAGTATGGTAGAATGCTCTCCCTACAGAAATACGAGAGACCAATCATTACTGTCATTCTGCCAGCTCTTGAAGACATACCTGTTTAGGAAAGTGTTCCATGAACTCAACTTCTGATCTTTCTGTCTTAACTGTTCAACTGTTTTAATTATCATGCTTTTTAAATGGTTGTTTTAGGGTACATGTTAATTATGGATGTTTTCATGTCCTAATGGAATTGTTATTGTATATTTTAATTATGTATGGATTTTCTAACTGGTTTTATAGTTGTAAACCATCTAGAAGCCATTTTGGCATATAAGCGGTGTATAAATGAATAAATAATATATTACTAAGTCTCTTCCAATGTAACACACAAAATGACCTATCTAGTTTCCCAATCGTTTTCCAACCTACTTTCCTATTCACAAATGGAGTTTTGCTTTGGTTTTTGCATGCAAGTCTATTCTTAATGGCAGCTGAATTGCTAAGATACATGTTTAAGCTTCAGATATATTATAATCCTAATTATTATTTGTAAAATGAATGAAGACAGCTTTGTCAATTTTGTATACATTCTGCAGTGAACATTCAAAATGCAAAAACTACCACAACTACCCAAGATTGTTGCTGGTAAATATTCAAAATTATGGAATTACAATAGTGAATACGAACAATCACTGTATGTTGACAATCCCTGATAAATGTCAATGTTCTGAAAGCTCAAATCTGTGCTGGTTAACCATCCATCCACGGCCCCAACCATTACCAGAACTGGTCAGGTGGGAAGGATGACTCCTCCTCCTTCTAGAGAGGAGAAGAAAGCTTTCAGTAGACCCTGCTTGTCCTTCCAGTAGGAAGTATCATCACTAAAAGGAATTCATAAGTAATTCTCAGGTAAATATCATTGTCAGCATTTATTTGTTAATATCCAAGAACTGAAGAAACAGAAATCTATTTTCAGGCTCAGGCATTCACAAAATTTATCAGGCATTGTCAAGCATTCACACGTGAATGCCACTGATCACTAAATTTTGAATATTGATTGTGACAGAGAAAGCACACTTCTCAAATTGGAATCAGACTATTGATCGATGGATTTTATGTCTTATGCAATAACCAGTCTTCTCAACCATTATTGATCTAAGATAAAACTTTTGCAGTAAGGCTTTCTGAAAACCACAATCCCAGTACAGTAGCTCTGAATGCTATGAAACACTCCAGTCATTTCACCTCATCTCCATAAACACTGTGGGATCTGACCCTTCACTATACATTAGAAATAGTTTTTCAACATCTGAGGACATCTGTCAAAGGAAAACAAACAGGCCCAAGTGTGTGTCACAACCACATAAACATCAGGGTGCCTATGCAAAAAGGAATCGCCAGGGTGGTCCTTGGATAGAAAATGGCGTGCAGCCCTGACCAATAGCAAAAAGACTGTGAAATTGTAAAGTTAAGTAATGCTATGTTGTAGGCTTCTTAACATTCCCAATAAATTTAATCATACCTGCAAGATCTTCCTTTGAAGATACCAGTCGCGGAGAGCTGTTTCCTGGCTCAATTCTTAAGGATAATCTAGAAAAGAGAAATGGTGACATGTCAGGAATTAAATAGCTTAACAAAAGCAAAGGGATAAACTTTTTTTATGTTATCGGTTGAAAGCAGGAAATCTAGCTTAGCCTGGACATCTCTTACATTCTTTGGATATGACGGGTGCATACTAAAGTATTAAATCCTTGCAGTGTGAAGCCCAACAGAATTTTTTACACTTGGTAAACACAGATCTTTACTGAGAAGATGTTTAAGCAGCTATTAACACTAGGTAAGACATGAATGAAAAACAGCTCTTTTTGTTTGCTTATACAGTGGTACCTCGGGTTACATACGCTTCAGGTTACATACACTTCAGGTTACAGACTCCGCTAACCCAGAAAAAGTGCTTCAGGTTAAGAACTTTGCTTCAGGATGAGAACAGAAATCGGGCTCTGGCGGCGCGGCAGCAGCGAGAGGCCCCATTAGCTAAAGTGGTGCTTCAGGTTAAGAACAGTTTCAGGTTAAGTACGGACCTCCGGAACGAATTAAGTACTTAACCCGAGGTACCACTGTACTGTAATGCGTAAGGACTGGTAACTAGTGAGCCCTGAACCAGTCTGCCTCCACTCCCCAAAAAGTGATTCCTGACAGCAAAATTTCAAACAAAGAGGCCAAAGAGATGTGAAGAAAGTGGCAGCTGCTGTAATGAGAAGTGCCAGGAGGCCATATCTCCACTCCTTTGTCCACTGATCCTCTGCTGTTTAGTGGCTTGCTGGTTGTTTTTTTCCAGTTGCCCTTCTTTCTTCCTACCATTCCTCTTTCCAGAACAGGACCTTCTCTTCTATATTTATTTGTCATTGCTCTTGGGAAAGTGTGGGCTACTAACTGAAGTAAACATAAAAAAGAAAAAGAAAAAAGCATCACTGTGCATCAGGGAAAACTGCATATGTATACATGAAAACAGGTCTTGTTCTGGAGGGACTGAAGGTGGTATGTGGTTTGACAAACAAGAAGCTTGAGGTTTGTAGTTAGATAGCCTCTGATGTATGCATTCCCGATACAAATCTCTACACACTTGATTAAAAGCCTGGTTTATAGCCCTCCAGAAGTGAGCTGCAGACCCTTCCAAGTCTCTCTATTTTCCAGGTATGTCCCTGATTTAGAGAAGCTGCCTCGGTTTCTAATTTGATCCTGGAATGTCCCACTTTTCCTTAGAATGTCTCGATTTTCATTGGAGAAATGTTAGAGGGTATTGAGTTAGAGGGTATAGAGTTATCTGACCCCCGAGCTGTCTGAAGGTAATCCGGTATAAGAAAGGTTTTTTTTTATGTTTAATGTTTTATGATGTTTTCATATATCTTGGAAACTGCCCAGAGTGGCTGGGGCAGCCCAGCAAGATGTTTGGGGTATAAATAGTAAAACTATCATTATGGAATGGAATGTCCCTATTTTCATCGGAGAAATGTTGGAGGGTATGGAGCTGTAAACTGCCACTCTCATATGAAAGTTATGTTAACCATGGGGAAGCAAGAGGTGGGGTCCTGTGCAGGCAGAGAAAGATGAGAAGGGAAAGAGAAGGGAAACACAAAAGACAAAGAATGCATTGTAATAAGCCAGCTCATGTTCCAGAGTTCTGGCATCGAGTGCAACATTATCAAAACACTGCCCACCCCCAAAGTAGGAGGTATGCACACATGTCTGCAGAGAAGACATCCATGAAAATGCACTTTCCTTACAAACAGCATTAAATAACTTTAACAGCTACAGATTCTCTCACCAGACCCTTGAACATATTCTATTAATTCTCAGTTGTCACAGTCTTCATGTATAACTCACAAACACTGCAAAGCAATAGGATATCCCTGGCTAAGACTACCCCAAGTCTTTGGTGAGCTATATTCATATGTTGACAAGTGTGGATCACATTATTTGAGAGAAACAAACATTCACTCTGTAAGGCCAGACAAACATGCAACCTGTTCCACTTCCGAAATGGTGTGGACACCCCGCCCCCCGAGAGAGAGAGAGAGAGAGAGAGAGAGAGAGAGAGAGAGAGAGAGAAACACATATAATGCACAAGGTGCCAACAGATAGATTGTCTCTGGAATACAGATTAACCTCCTGCTACCTTTAAGAGGAAGTTCCCTGAAGATGTTGTTTTTTGTCTTTAGCACAAAGTTCAAGGGCATTGTTACTGCAACTGAACGAAATTTTGATTTCCCCCTTTCCCCCCACAGCATTTTGTTAAGCATGACTAATCTAGGACTCACCAATAACCTAATTTATGCAAAGAGAAGAGCTTTGCAGAGTTTTACACACAAAGAAGAGGATTATACACTTTTGAAACAGCAACCAATTCTTTATTCAAACATTGACTGCTTCTTTGTTTTTAACTGTTTTAAATTATCTTAAGTGTAAATTGCCTCAAGGCTACAGTTTAGGTAATAATAATAATAATAATAATAATAATAATAATAATAATAAACCAACTATTTTCATTTGATTCTGTTTTTGAACTATTTTAGTAATTTAATTTACCCTTTTTTATCCCTTTCATTCCTTCATTTCTTTAGAGGATAAGAAAGAAGCTGTGGCTAATCTCATACTACCTTGCAATGCTCTTATTGTGAGAGCATAAGGGGGAATTAATGAATATCACTCTTACAACACAGACATCTGCATATTCACTCCCCCTGTAAGTTCCACTGTATTTAATGGCATTTACTTTCAGGGCAAGTATGTATAGCATTGCAACTGGGTTCTTTTTGTGCTTTCTTTCTTTTTTCTTTTTGCAGGCAGGATTTACCGTATTTTTCGCTCCATAGGGCGCACCAGACCATAGGGCGCACCTAGTTTTTTTTTTGGGGGGGGAAATAAAGGGGGGGGATTTCTTTGCAGGCTGCTATCCGCAAGCCTTCAGAGCCCGGTGGGAACCCGCACCGACCCCTCTCGCTCTCCAGGCTTCAGCGAAAGCTTGCATTCACTCCATAGGACGCACACACATTTCCCCTTCATTTTTGGAGGGGAAAAAGTGTGTCCTATAGAGCGAAAAATACGGTACTTGTTATACTAAGTAGAGAAATACCCAGAGGGCTATTTTGAATGGTAACACACACACACACACTTTGTTTAAGTACTATATAAATGTGATTCTGAAACATAAAACCTGCTCTGCTAAATGTTGAAGTGTGCAGTTACGGTTGTTGTCATACTCCAGAGAAGGAGTGATAACAATGCTGGAAATGTTCCATTTTCTAAGATTCAGTCCTAGTCTGTAGGCGTCTGTAAGATACCCCTGCAAACTGCAAAAAATTATAAATTTCCCAGGTGTCAAAATAAGATGGTTAGGTACCTGTCACCAGGAACAGTGGTTTTTTTAAAACACTAAGTATAATACCAGTGGTGTTATTATGACCCTTGTTTGTTTATAGGGAGTCCAACCAAGCCTTCTAAAAATTGCCAAAGAACGGACAACAGCTGGCGCACAAACTAAGCAAGTTGAGCTGCTCTATGCTGTGGAGGCAGCCTGCGCCGCCACTGACAAGGGTGATCCAAGAGCATACCCAGGCTGCAAATCTGTTCCTTCAGAGGGAATGTGACCCCATCAAGAACAAGAACACCATTCACAACGGTTAAAATTCCCGAGTGTAGCCTTGGTACTAGAAGTGTCTCATTTGCTTCCTATCTCCAAGAAAGAACTCTTTTTTTAATTGGCTGCAAGCTCAGCAGCAACTCAACTCAAGTCTTTCTTTCCCAGAACTTTCAATGGCTGTTCCACTTAGGTCATTGCAATAACAGTAAATGCCTTAAATGTAGTCCATGTATTAGACTGCAAGCATGTAGGAAGGGCTGTGCTGCTTTTAAATGTTTGTCCAGCAACAAGAAAACTTTAGGAGCCTTATAAACAAACCATTTCATGTACAATTCCATTTCAGGCCAGCTGGGTCTACAATTCATGAACATCAGGGGTCGGCAAAAATTTTAACTGAGGGCAGGTCCCTCAGACCTTGTGGCAGGCCGGAGAAGCAGCATGGGGGGGGGGAGAGGGAGCTGGAAGAAGAGGCGAGGGGGGCCAACCATTGTGCTTACCTTCCCAGGGGCACGATCCATAGCACATTTCATTCTCAGCAGTTCTTCAGGCGCTGAACAAGCAGCCTTGAAACGATTGCGGCTTACTTGCGAGTAAGTGCGTCTTTAGGACTCTTAGTGTCCGTGCATCCAATGGCAGGGCAGGGTGCATCTACGCGCCAAGATGTGGCATCTCCTGGCGGCGCAGGTGGAAGCAGGCGGGGAAGGGAAAGCGGACTTCTAGAGTTGGGGAGGAGCCAGAGCAGGCAGTGGGCGCTGTCTTGCCTCCTTGCAACGGGAGGAAGAGGCTGAGTGGCAGCGGCTCTGCCAATCAGACATCGCGCCTGCTTTACCTAAGTGCGGTGCGGGGACGTCTCTGCCAATCAAACGCCACTGAGGTAAACCAGGCGCAGCGTTTGATTGGCAGAGACGATCCCGTGCCACGCTGAGGTAAACAAGGTGCGGTGATTGAGTGGCAGAGCTGCATCGCCGGGAGTCTTGGCTTCACGGCGGGTTCCATCTTCACGGCGCAGGCCGGATTTACAACCCAGGTGGGCCTGATCCGGCCCGCAGGCCTTAGTTTGCCGACCCCTGGTAAACATTCTCAGTGGGTGGGAAGGATGCATCTAGCATCAAGGAAAACAGGGTGTTTGGGAAATTAGGGCCACCAAAATCTGCCATTGGGTAAAAATTCAATGCGAAAAATATATGACTCAATCTTAGGAGGTTGTCCTGCTCAAGCCCCATTAAAATGAAAGATGTAAAAGAGAGTTCTTGCGTGGCTCTCATTCAAACCAATGGTTTATGTATGAGAACTTTGTGAAGAACTGGTCCCACAATAACTACTTGAGCACAGAGCAAATCTATTACCCAAGTTTCAGTTTTATAAAAAGTTAAGACATATCAGATTAAAGACACAAATGCAGTGGATAGTCTTGCACTGACTCTTATCTTAGGCTTTAAAATGTATAGAT